GGAAGGGAGAGAGAGAAAAAAAAAACATACTGAAAACAACACAGGCAAGATCATGTTCTGTTATAAAAATGAAACAAAAGAAACCATGAAGTGAAGCCAGAGAGGAAAGAAAGTCTAATAAGCAAGAGATACAGGTTATATAATATTCAAAATATATTACATGGAAAGAGGGTTAACAACATTACAGTTAAATATAATGCACTGTAAGCAGTACACAATTGCTTTATTCCTTTAAATACCTGGGAGAGTGGCTTTGGTATGGTGTGGTAGAACAGATACTTTTTGCCCTAACTAATAGGCTTATTCCTCAGGCTAATATGGGAGAGGTAAATTTTTCAAGCACCAGCTTAAAAAAACCCACAGAAAGCCAGATCTGGCCTCTCCTACAGCCCCTTTCTGCCAATTCAGCAGCATTCAGAGGCTGCAAGTGGTGCAGAATAGTAGCTAGAGGAATTTTCCCAGTGCACATGGCTCTGTACTGATTCCCTTGCAACTCCTGGTTTAGGGGCATGCCGGTGATGAAAGGAAATTAGGGTGGGTGACTGGAACATGTTGGGCCTGTCTTCACTGCAAATGAATGGTGTATTCTTAACCAAAGCTAGCTAACTCCTGATCATAGGATCACAGAATATCAGGGTTGGAAAGGACCTCTTGAGGTCATTTCGTCCAACCCCCTGCTCAAAGCAGGACCAATACTCAATTTTTGCCCCAGATCCCTAAATGGCCCCCTCAAGGATTGAACTCACAACCCTGGGTTTAACTTTATTCAGACATGTAGATAAGTGTGGAAGGGTTTGCAGCCTTGGACTTTAATACTGTTTTATTTGTTAGGGGTTTTTTGTCACTGAACTATTCAGTCAGTCTCAAGACTGTAAACTGGATGTGCTATAGAAAAAGGGTACTCAAATAGGCATTTAAAATATTGAATATTTGAAATTATTACATGCATAATGTGTGCTCCTACTAGCTGGGCCTGTACTCTTCCCCAGCTAAGCAAAGGCAAGCTGGGTCAATATTTGGATGGGTGGCTTCCAAAAAACAAAGAAACCCTGGTACTGCATGAAGTGGTGTTTGTGATTCAATGTGTGGCACTCTTCTGTTTAACAGGCCAATGCTCAAACCACTGAGCTATCCCTCCCCCTTTGTTAGCTAGCTCAAGTTAAAATAGCAGTCAAGACAAAGCAACTCAGCTTTTAACTCAAGTTAGCAGGTCAAATTCCACCCCAGGCTCACTATGGGCTTTAACTTGATCTGATAACCTGAGTTAAAAGCTGAGATGCCATGTCTTCACTGCTGTTTTAACCCAAGTTAGCTAATGCAAGGGAGGTAACCCAGATTAAGAACACAGCTTTTTTTGGCAGTGACAATGTATCTTCTGTGGCCTGGCAATCCTGAACTCCTGAGCTGTGTATGACTTTGTGGCAGAAGCGAGCACCTCATCTGAAAGCGGCAGCATCCCTCTGAAAGCAGCAGCTACCACTAATATCATCATGTGAGCTGTATTGATGGGGTTGTGCAGATATGCATCTAGGAGAACTCCATACTCCCCTCTTCACCCCCAGCAGGGATCCTGGGCACAAGAAGGAAGGAAGAAACCAACTTGTCTGAGGTCCAGTGTAGGCCAACAACTGCCAGAGGTCTTAGAAATTAGGATATATGAGTACCTTCTCCGTCATAGAATCATAGAATATCAGAGTTGGAAGGGACCTTTGGAGGTCATCTAGTCCAACCCCCTGCCCAGAGCAGGACCAATGCCCAACTAAATCATCCCAGCCAGGGCTTTGTCAAGCCTGACCTTAAAAACTTCCAAGGAAGGGGATTCCACCACCTCCCTAGGTAACCCATTCCAGTGTTTCACCACCCTCCTAGTGAAAAAGTTTTTCCTAATATCCAACCTAAATCTCCCCCACTGCAACTTGAGACCATTACTCCCTGTCCTGTCATCTGCTATCACTGAGAATAGTCTAGAGCCATCCTCTTTGGATCCACCTTTCAGGTAGTTAAAAGCAGCTATCAAATCCCCTCTCATTCTTCTCTTCCGTAGACTAAACAATCCCAGTTCCCTCAGCCTCTCCTCATAACTCATGTGTTCCAGTCCCCTAATCATTTTTGTTGCCCTCTGCTGGACTCTCTCCAATTTTTCCACATCCTTCTTGTAGTGTGGGGCCCAAAACTGGACACAGTACTCCAGACGAGGCCTCACCAATGTCGAATAGAGGGGAACAATCACGTCCCTCGATCTGCTGGCAATGCCCTTACTTATACACCCCAAAATGCCATTGGCCTTCCTGGCAACAAGGGCACACTGTTGACTCATATCCAGCTTCTCGTCCACTGTCACCCCTAGGTCCTTCTCATGCCTGTCTAGCAGGAACTAAGTTATTGTTCTGCTCCGAATCTCCTAGATTACCTACAATTTGAGCAGGTCTTTGGAAATGAGTAAAAGAAGAAATAAACCTTGCCTGGGCATTTTAAAACTCAGCTGAGTAACTAAGGAAAACTCTTGCCAAGACCCCATAATCCTAGGTTGTGTGGTCCCATTCCTCTCTCTCTCTCTCTCTCTCTCTCTCTCTCTCTTTGTTTGTTTGTTAATTTATTTATTTGGAAGGACTTTTAGCTTCCTGTTGTAGGCCCATGCCACGTCAGTTGGAGTAAACTGTATGACCAGAGCCTCCTCTAGCCCCATAGCCCTGACTTCTTCCACCCCGGAGAGCAGTGTCATGTGACTGGGACGTGGACAGTCATGCCTAGTGTCAGGGCAGGAGCAATCTAGTGGGTAGAACAGGAGTCAGTAGCAAGGAATTAGAGCCCTGGATCACTGCTGGAGTTAGAGCCCACATTCAGAACCACAGTCTGAAGCCAGAGCCAAGGGTCAGAGGTCAGGAATCACAGCTGAGTGTCAGAACTGGGTTACCTGCAGTGAGGCAAGGCCGGAGCTATCACAGTCAAGCACAGATGCTTTGGGCAGCCACTAAACAACTAGCTACCACTGGGCTTACGAGCTGGTCTGCTGACTCTGCCAACCAGTATGGGGCTGCAGCCAATCAGACAACCTATTACAGGCAGCCATGCTTGTTAGGTTGCCTGAAGCCTGGATCTAATGCAGACCCTGATTCCTCACACAGAGGACCAAGGGAATGTGAAAAACCCATGGCAGAACAAGGACTGCCTGTTCTCCTGCCTCAGAGTCCTGGAGTGCCAATGTGGTCTGTCTGTGTGAAAGAAATGAAAGAAGCAGACCCCGAAAGAGGCTCTGGGCATCAGAAGTGCCAGTTCAGCATTTTCATTCAAGGTCTTTCAGATCAGAGAATGTTCCTGAATAGCAGAGAACACATGAAGGGCTCCACACACCAGCGACCAGGCCCACAGACAGACAAGCTTTGAGGAAGAGACGGACACTGCCATAGACTGAAAAATGATCCTGATTAAATCATAAATAACATCACACAGGAAAGTGAGGGCTGCCTACAGTAGGGCAGCTAATAATTCAAAGGTGTATACTCTACCATATTTTATCCAGAGTCAAGTTTCTGGATCCATCTTACAGCTGCCCTGGCTGCCTAAAACACATGCACGGCGGTCTGGACTGAAATCCTAAATAGGTAAATAGGCCCAATGGCCTGTGATGGGATGTTAGATGGAGTGGGATCTGAGTTACTACAGAGAATTCTTTCCTGGGTATCTGGCTGGTGAATCTTGCCCGTATGCTCAGGGTTTAGCTGATCGCCGTATTTGGGGTCGGGAAGGAATTTTCCTCCAGGGCAGATTGGAAGACGCCCTGGAAGTTTTTCACCTTCATCTGTAGCATGGGGCATGGGTCACTTGCTGGAGGATTCTCTGCACCTTGAAGTCTTTAAACCATGATTTGAGGACTTCAATAGCTCAGACATAGGTGAGAGGTTTATCATAGGAGTGGGTGGGTGAGATTCTGTGGCCTGCATTGTGCAGGAGGTCAGACTAGATGATCATAATGGTCCCTTCTGACCTTAATATCTATGAATCTAAGATGTTATGAGCAACTGGAAAGAGGGAGCTTCATTGTAATGATCGTCTCATCCTTAACTGTAGTACCATGCCCATCAATGCCAGTTTGTATTTATAACTCTGAAAAATACCAAAAATATAGTTTGTTTTACAATTACATGGTACAACACAAAAGATGCAGGGATCATTATAATAAAAACATTTATTTCACTGAGTGGTTTGGGGCATCTGGAAACCATTTCATATTTGAATGAAAATGACCTTTCCTTCCTTGCATTTCAAGCCATCCTGTTACTTCACAGTGCTTTTGTTCCTGCACTCCTTGCACAAAACGTAGATTCAAGTCTCCTTATTATGAAAATGATCTAATAAAATAATTATCTCAAACATTTATTCTTTATTCAAAAAGTGCCACTCACCAGTTAATTGTTTCATTTAGTTAAATTAACCCATAATATGTTCAATTTTCAAACTCATATTCAATATATTTTTGGTTCAGTTATGCCGCATACACGGCTGAGCCATGTTAGGGGAAGGATAGGAAGGCCATTGCCAGGGCATTGGTGTCAGGAGACACTGAGTCCTTTGAAAGGCATAATGCCTCCTTAGCACTGGGGAGAACGTGATGGAGATCAGTTCTTGTTACAGCTTTAAAACATGCAAAGGCATTCCCCCACACACAGCCAGCCTATGTAGGGTTTATGGGCAAGGGGAAGGGTCAGGACCTCCCCCATTTTCCATTTGAGGACAAAAAATGGATGGAAATTTTTTGACCTGCCCTTGTTCTGTGTATTCTCTCTTTTGTATTGATTTCCTGCAGGGATTCACCTGTTTTTTCACTAGCAGTCTTTCTCGGGCCACTCAGCACTAACGGTACTTCCCACTGTGGGGAGACAGATTAAGCCTCTCCTGTGTGGGTGCATTGTGGAAGGAAGGGACCCCTGCAGCTTATCTCCCTTGTAGCATATCCACGCAGAGGGAGGCATAATTAGCTCATAATGAATATGATACTTAACTGTTTCTTAATGGGTTTCCTCCTTTTCCTCCCAGCATATAGACATTCCCCTGGTGGAATCATTGTCCTGGCACTGAAACAGAAAAGCAATAGGTTTCAGAGTAGCAGCTGTGTTAGTCTGTATTCACAAAAAGAAAAGGAGTACTTGTGGCACCTTAGAGACTAACAATTTTATTTGACCATAAGCTTTCGTGAGCTACAGCTCACTGCATCCGATGAAGTGAGCTGTAGCTCACGAAAGCTTATGCTCAAATAAATTTGTTAGTCTCTAAGGTGCCACAAGTACTCCTTTTCCTTTTTGAGAAAAGCAATAGGTGGTTCATTTTCAGAGTTTTCAGTGTTTCATACCACTTTACAACATTACAAAACCCAGGAAATTCAATTAAAGCCAATGCTCATTCCTTAAGCCATGGCATTATGTAAAGCTAAAAGGCACAGTGACATAAGAAGAAAGAAGGGTCAGGCTTCATTCTGTTTCTTAGTTTATTCTGTTTCTTAGTTATTAGAATATTGATGTTTATATTTAATTTTCATGTTTTTTAAATTAAATCAGCTAAAAAATGGTATAAAATGGGTATAAAAGACATCTTGTTTATTAGAGAGCCTGAAATAGGCTTCTTTCTTCCTTTTAAAAAAAATCTCTTGGCCAATATATATTCTAATTTCCTGGCTAATATATGTTTAGGGTCAATAATAATAAATAATATTATATATCACCTTCCATGAGGAAGGATCCCACAACTCTTGAAATATACAGGAATAATTTCTTCCATTACTGAAATTGTGCTTATCAGGATGCAATTACTCAACCTGGAATTTGTCCAGGTCCTCACATTTAACATCTTCTACACTCTTTGAGAGGTCATTGGGTCCAGTGCATAGAGCATTCTCCAGAGACAGGTTCAATTCCCAGCTTTGTGACTGTAGGCAAGTTACTTTGATGCTTGTTCTGTCTTTTCTATTTTGACAGCAAGCTCTTTGGAGCAGGAGTTGTGTCTCAGTGTTGGTACAGTGATTAGCATAATGGGGCCCTGATCTGAGCTCAGGCCTCCTGGGGTTGCTACTGTTACCACTACTAAAGCATCTGGAGAGCTTTAATGATCACAAGTAGTCACAACATTAGGTTTGCATTTTGTAGTCCCTCCAGAAGCACAGAACCCCTCTTAGCAATATGATGGGTTGTGGATTCAAGTGACAGCTGAAACAGAAGAGTGCCACACATTGAATCACAAACACCACTTCGTGCAGTACCAGAGTTTGTTTGTTTTTTGGAAGCCACCCATCCAAATATTGACCCAGCTTGCCTTTGCTTAGCTGGGGAAGAGTACAGGCCCAGCTAGTAGGAGCACACATTATGCATGTAATAATTTGAAATATTCAATATTTTAAATGCCTATTTGAGTACCCTTTTCTATAGCACATCCAGTTTACAGTCTGGAGACTGACTGAATAGTTCAGTGACAAAAAAACCCTAACAAATAAAACAGTATTAAAGTCCAAGGCTGTAAACCCTTCCACACTTATCTACATGTCTGAATAAAGTTATATGAGGAAGTATATAGTATTGGACCCACGGTCAGTAAGTTCTCTTCCCCAAGATTTATTCCTACAGTCTGTCTACCCTGCAAATGAATGTGTGATTGTAGTGTGGGTAGGTATACTTGCGGTAGCTTTAATCTAGCTAGTGCAGGTACCAACTGTAGTGAAGATGTGGTGGCAAGGGCTTCACCATGGGCTAGCTGCTGCAGTACAAGTCCACCAGGGATCCTGGGAAAATATTCTGGTGGCTGACACACAGCAGAGTCCATGACACCACATCTGCACTACTATTTTCACCCACGTGAGCTAGATTAAAGTTAAGGAGTACTTGTGGCACCTTAGAGACTAACCAATTTATTTGAGCATGAGCTTTCGTGAGCTACAGCTCACTTCATCAGATGTATACCGTGGAAACAGTTTCCACGGTATACATCTGATGAAGTGAGCTGTAGCTCACGAAAGCTCATGCTCAAATTTCCACGGTATACATCTGATGAAGTGAGCTGTAGCTCACGAAAGCTCATGCTCAAATAAATTGGTTAGTCTCTAAGGTGCCACAAGTACTCCTTTTCTTTTTGCGAATACAGACTAACACGGCTGTTCCTCTGAAACCAGATTAAAGTTAGTGTGAGTATGCCTACCCATGCTACAATTGCACCTTCATTCGTGGTGTAGACATACCCTACATAAGGTACATCAGGAACAGCCAGCATGGATTCACCAAGGGAAGGTCATGCCTGACTAATCTAATCGCCTTTTATGATGAGATTACTGGTTCTGTGGATGAAGGGAAAGCAGTGGATGTATTGTTTCTTGACTTTAGCAAAGCTTTTGACACGGTCTCCCACAGTATTCTTGTCAGCAAGTTAAGGAAGTATGGGCTGGATGAATGCACTATAAGGTGGGTAGAAAGCTGGCTAGATTGTCGGGCTTAACGGGTAGTGATCAATGGCTCCATGTCTAGTTGGCAGCCGGTATCAAGTGGAGTGCCCCAAGGGTCGGTCCTGGGGCCGGTTTTGTTCAATATCTTCATAAATGATCTGGAGGATGGTGTGGATTGCACTCTCAGCAAATTTGCGGATGATACTAAACTGGGAGGAGTGGTAGATACGCTGGAGGGGAGGGATAGGATACAGAAAGACCTAGACAAATTGGAGGATTGGGCCAAAAGAAATCTGATGAGGTTCAATAAGGATAAGTGCAGGGTCGGAAGAACTCAATGCACAGCTACAGACTAGGGACCGAATGGCTAGGCAGCAGTTCTGCGGAAAAGGACCTAGGGGTGACAGTGGACGAGAAGCTGGATATGAGTCAGCAGTGTGCCCTTGTTACCAAGAAGGCCAATGGCATTTTGGGATGTATAAGTAGGGGCATAGCGAGCAGATCGAGGGACGTGATCGTTCCCCTCTATTCGACATTGGTGAGGCTTCATCTGGAGTACTGTGTCCAGTTTTGGGCCCCACACTTCAAGAAGGATGTGGATAAATTGGAGAGAGTCCAGCGAAGGGCAACAAAAATGATTAGGGGTCTGGAACACATGAGTTATGAGGAGAGGCTGAGGGAGCTGGGATTGTTTAGCCTGCAGAAGAGAAGAATGAGGGGGGATTTGATAGCTGCTTTCAACTACCTGAAAGGGGGTTCCAAAGAGGATGGCTCTAGACTGTTCTCAATGGTAGCAGATGACAGAACGAGGAGTAATGGTCTCAAGTTGCAGTGGGGGAGGTTTAGATTGGATATTAGGAAAAACTTTTTCACTAGGAGGGTGGTGAAACACTGGAATGCGTTACCTAGGGAGGTGGTAGAATCTCCTTCCTTAGAGGTTTTTAAGGTCAGGCTTGACAAAGCCCTGGCTGGGATGATTTAACTGGGAATTGGTCCTGCTTCGAGCAGGGGGTTGGACTAGATGACCTTCTGGGGTCCCTTCCAACCCTGATATTCTATGATTCTATGATTCTATAACACACCCTAATTTGCAGTGTAGATGTACCTGTGACAGAATCACAATATCCTGAACAATCCTTATGGAATTAAGATAACATTTACAGAATTAAGTTAAACGTTATTGAATTAGGGTCAATACCTTTGGGATATAATACATTAAAATGTTGTTATGGATGTGTTATTGTGGCATTGTATGTATCTTCTCTAGTGGGAGAAAGATGCTAATATTCTTCCATCCTTATCAACCCTTAGAAGCCACCTCCCTGGAGAGGTTTGCATATACTGGATTCTCCAAAGACCAACAGACAAAGAAAGTGTTTTTTAAATAAACAGCCTGGTTTTAACCTGGCTCAGGGCCTTCTTCTTGATCCAGCAAATGGACAGGTCCTCTAGTGCAGGAAGAGCCCCAATCCTTTGGGAAGGGTTGGAAGGACTGGGCTTACTGATACCCCATAAGACTGAGTGCTTGTTCTGAGTTGAAGCTGTAATGAACCACAAGGACTCCCCTTGGTGGGGATTTGAAGGACTGCTCCTGCCAGTATCCATGTTAGTGCTGTGGGGATCTCCAGTAAGCTTATTAGCATGCGTGTAGGTTTTTTTTATTGTTTTTAGTATGTTTTCTCTGTAGTGCTTTTTACCTTAAGAATAAACTAGGCTTGCATAGAAAGAACTGTGTGGTACTTAGAACTGTAGTAATTACATCTACTAGCCATCTCTGATGAGAAAGCAAGCAGGTGTCCTTGGGCAATCTGTCTGTGCTTGGAATAACATGGTGAAGGCAGGGAACTGTGCAGCCTGGAGATATCATGGTTAAGGCTGCGTGTCTGTCATGGAGGTCACAGAAGTCACAGATTCCATGACCTCCATGACTTTTGCAGCAGCTGGTGCAGATGGCTAAGGGGCTGCTGGAACACTCGGGCAGCCCCTGGGCCAGCAGCAGTTTGGGTGTGGGAGGGGGCTCAGAGCTGAGGCAGGGGGTTGGAGTGTGGGGGGGGAAGGGCAGGGAGCTCCTTGGAAGCGGCTGGCATGACCCTACAACTCCTGACCCCCAGCAATCATGGCGCTCCCAGACCGCCCTCCTGCCCAGAGCATTCTGGGGCCCCAACACAAGTTTTAGTTACAGGTAAATAGTACAAGTCATGGACAGGCCGTGAATTTTTGCTTACTGCCCATGACCTGTCCATGATTTCTACTAAAAATAACCGTGACTAAAACGTAGCCTTAATCATGGTCAGAAGGGAGAAAGATGTGTGTCTCCACCCAAGAGCGGTGATAGCCAGGGAAGCCAGAAACCTGAGAGTTTGTCCCTTTGCTGGATCACTGAGGGGAAATAGAAGTGCAATTGCCCTGGAATGTGACAGTACCCTTGAGAGGGCTGTGTTTACACAACAATTAAAAAAAAGTTCAGCCTAAACCAAAACTAAACAAAAAAATGACACAGTGTGGGATTCAACCTAGGCCACTTGAGGGGTATAGAGCCCACTGGCTCTCAACTAGCCACCATTATAGACCTTCCCTTATGCAAAGGCAGGGAGAAGCCGAGAAGCTGCACTTAATCTGTTTCACAAAGATCAGATAGTGTAC